TAAACCCTCATTTCAAAATGATCATTCTGCATTGATGTAATATGAAAGTTGACATCGATGCAATATGGAATTTATTATGTATATTCTAAATTTTTTAAAAATTTTACTTTATCTCAGCAACCGAATTATTAATCCGTTGAATTAATTATTCATATGTATTTGTACATGTAGTTGTACACCTTTTGTTTTAGAGTTTTTCAGAAATAGAAATCAAAAGGCACATAGTAATCAAACTTCGAATCGACTCAGACTATGTTCAACATTTGCCTATAATTTTATAACAAAGCATTCAAAAACAAATTTTGTGTAACATTTTTTTATTATCTTCTCTTGTAGATTATGCTCGTACAATTTTGCTTCTGTATTATTTCGTGAATTATTATTGATGTTTCGCAACTGTTTTTTTTATATTAAGAAATGATTTTTTATATTAAGATGATATATTAAGAAATGATTTTGTCACGGTAAAGATTTAGAGTTTAATTTAAGAGTAGCTAAAAAATGGATATCTACTAATAATTTTAAAAGCTTAAAAATTTCAAACTCAAGCTTAGTTCCATCATCAATTTTAAATCTAAATAAGATTGCAACATTTACAAGAGAAAATAAAGCATCACTTAAACAAGTTCAAACATTTCAACATTATAGAAATGTTTAAAATCATACTGAAAGAACTTTAGTTTAAGATTAATCAATGAATAAAGATATGAAGAAGATAAATAAAGATATGCAAAACTTTAATAATGTAATATAACAATATAATTTAATAATATAAATATAAACAATTGCAAAACTTTACTAATACATTTTACGAAGGAAAATATATTACTAAATATATCATAAAATAAAATTCAGAGTCCTATTGTAAAATGAAATACGTAGAAATTTTTGAACATTATAGCTTAACAACTTCATAACTAAATAAATATAATATTCTTTTATTATAAAATTTTTTTATGTTATTTTAATATATAAAATATATTAAAATATACTAAATATATATTTTAAAATATATTAAAATATACTAAATATATATTTTAAAATATATTAAAATATATAAAACTTATCTGAGTAAAAACTTTTGTTCACCACTGTACCTATTATTAAAAGTTTCATTTTTTTTCTTAGTCAAGAAATTTACTCTTACAATTTCATAAAATCATTTTCATAGAATTATACTAAAAATTTCTATTGAAATGTAAATTTCAATTTTTCATTCTATTTTTTCCATATAATACTTTTGCATTTTGTCGACCTTAGTTTAATTTATTATTTTTAATACACAAATGTTATAAGAAACACAGAAGATTTAAAAAAATTGTAAACTAATTATTGGTACAAAGACGATTTGTTGTTAATTAAATCTGTTCGTTCGAGAAAAGCTGAGTTTTGAAAGTAAATTCGTGACAATGGAAAATTGTGGATTAGCAATAGTTTAATTCGGTTCGTTAATGAATAAAGAAGGGTCAAGATCCGCAAATGAATAATGAGCGAGGAAATTATTTGCTTGGACAAATTTTTATTTACATAATAAATAGTAAATAAATTGTTTATTTAAGTAAAACTAATTTCAATAATATCAGAAAAAATTTTTCAATAAAGCTAATAAATAGATTTTAGTGTTTTTATTCTAAAATAATAATTAGCTTTTAATTCTCTTTTACATTATCTACTATTTTTTATAAATAATTTCCTAGATGTTAATTCAGCAAATTTTCACGATAAGAACTTCAAGAAATAATATATTAATAACATAATTAGAAATAATTACAGAAATATAATAGGTAAAAAATGCTACGATTCTTAATAAAAACATTATTCGTATTACATTTATTTTTGCTTTCAAACATTTCGAAATCGTGTGATTTCGGATGTCGATTAGCATAGCAATTGAAGCGTATTGTATTTTTTTTTTAATGTGCAACTATTCTAATTTGCTATGTAAATAATAAATAATAATTCCAATTGTTCTTCTAAATAACAATTAATTTTATTATTTTAATTAATTTTA